TAGTTTATAAGTTAAATATTTAGTTTATAAACTATGACATTTATAAATGTATGAATCATATGGTGAAAAACTGACTTTGAAAAATAAATCTGTTTTTTGTTATAAAAGGCTAAATAAAACAAAAATACTGGTGGTAATTTTTGACTGTGTAACTTTACAAACGGCACCCCACACCCATGGGGCTTTTTAAAGCACTGTACTGTATAAATTCAGTCCATTTATGTGACTTAGTCATGATAAACAAATTAGCCTAAATGCACATTTCCCCATTAATAAAAACCTTTTAATCTTTAAATCCCTTTTAAACTCTCTGAACACAAAGCTAACGCGTGCGCTTGTGTTTACAACTACTCTCTACTACTTGCTGCTTTACTTTTCAGTAATCCTGGAGATGGAATATCTAAAAAAAAAAGAAATAGAAAACAAATAGACTCCTGTTATGTAGTTAACATTCAGTGAGCATTAGATACCCAGTTGTGGAAGTTAGATCCACATAAACTCTATCCTCCTCACTGAAGAGTAGTCAGGGTCTTTATTTGCTCAGCCCACAAGAGATTTGGTCATGCTCTGACAGGAAATGATTGTAAATAAATGGAACACCACCATCTGCTGGAGCAGACAGGCACTGCGAAGAAAGACAACCTCACTATGAAAACCAACATGTTTATTTGTACTGAAGGTTACAGAGCACCAAATCTTTAAACAACTGAGAAAAAACATCTCAATTCAAATATGGACAAGAAACTTGCTGCTGAATGAACTTTATATTTTAAATGTATGTTTAATGTTGTCCACCATCAAAGGGGAAGGCATAATTCAAACTGAATAGATTTTAATGGACCTTTCAGGTAATTATCACCAAATGCACATCAACGACTCATTATTATTATTGGAATCAATCCAACTTAAGATGGCCACCACAGCAAAGCAATCTTACAAAACACAAATAAATGTCAGTCACTTCGGTGTGGTAGTAGCTGAGAGTCATCTTCAAACCATTCTATTCTTTGTGCAAGGTGAATAAACCAGTGATTTTTTTTTAAACTTCCAGCAAACTATAATTAATTGTACATCTATCATGGATTAACATCCATCTGATTTTTAGAAAACACAAAAACGGCTCTAAATCAGTCAGTTTTACAGAATCTAAGCTAAGTTATAATGTCGTAGTAGCTGAAGTGCAATCACAAAACGTACTTTGAGTACGATATTTCAAAATATGGCATGAGACGGCAAAAAAACTGTGATTTTCAAGTTTAACCAAAATGACTACAATATCAACATTTATCAGCTAAGATGATCCTAGATAACTCTGGTTGTCAGTATTCCTTCAAGGAATGCTAGGCTTTTCAATTAAATCAACTTTTGTTCATGAAAAAAAAAATCAACTAATAAACTAGTTCAACATGCAATGTCCCTGCAGAGGATGTGACATGCTGCTGAGAGTGGATCTTATTTACCATGTACCAAAATCTGTTGTTTTTTTTAATTGACACAACTCAAATCAACAAAACACTATTTCAAATCTACATCTAACTTCTTCAGGAACACAATCACACAACAGCTTCACAATCAGTACTGCTACAAGCTAACAGCTAACAGTTAACGGTGGACTGAGTCTTTGGTGTTATGATAGTGAGGTCTTTAGCCAAAGCCAGATCAGAATTCTGATCAGAGATCCTGTGTTGTTATGAGTGCATCTTTAAAAATGACTTTGTGAAAACGGGAGTACACTGATGAGTGGAGCTGAGGTGCAGCAGCAGGAGTGTGGAGTGGGGGGTAGGGGTGGGGTTCAGGAGTCTATGATCGTTTTTTTCGGTTCTCAGAGTTTTTGAAGTTGGCTGGTCTAATCTTCATCTCTGCAAAATCGATTGAGTGTTCGTGGCCTTTCCAGTGGAACCAGTTAATTCCCTGTGTGAGAGAGGGAGAAACAGAAACAAGTCATGGGAAAGTAGTTAACATCAGAGCAAAGGTCCCAGGTGCACAGAAATGTCTGCTCTGCTGACTGAAAAGATGGACTTTGAAGTTTTGCTTAAATGTTTTGTTATAGTTGATGGTTTAATGGCAAAATGTGTGTAATAAATTTTGTGTGTGTGTGTGTGTGTGTGTGTGTGTGTGTGTGTGTGTGTGTGTGTGTGTGTGTGTGTGTGTGTGT